AGGCGCCACTAAAAGTGAAATACTTTTCGTCATCAAAATAATGATTTTTCCATTGACAAAGTGTACCCGTCTCAGTTGACGACAGCATATTGGTATACAGACGAGTCGCACTTGAGAGTATTTGGGGCACTTAAGTCTCTTTCGAGAATTCTGTGCCAAAACTTTTTCGATATATGGTACGTTATTATGGCTTCTGTCAGATGAGAGTATATACTGGGGTCCATCACTCTGGTTAAGGAGCTTGGACTATACTCAAGTCTGCCAGAAGGGCTGAGCTTGGGACTTAGAGAATGTAGGCTAAGGGCTCCTCATGGTGGCCGACATGCCTCTAATTCCTTTTATCATTCATTCAAAGCAGCTGCCTCTTAAATCGATTCAGAGCAATCTATCACTGTGTCGATGAAACGAGCTGCAGACTAATCGATGTACCACAAAACTATATTACGAACGTCAAAGTTGTTTGCGAGCAATACAATAGGAAGGCAATGAGGAGTGTTTAATTAAAAAAAGAAACGTCACAGAACCGCAGTAACGACGTGCGCCAGCCTCATTTTGTCCCGTTGTAATCGATTTGGTGGGCTAGCTTCTGCAGTCTGCAGGGGTGGATTTCAAAATGCAATTGTAGTGTTTCTGATCCTAAACGAAATGGAATAATTCATACCTTAGGAAAACTAAAAAAAAAATACGCTTTAATAGTAAATCGAACTAAGAAGTAGAAAATAATTTTCAAGTATAGGAAAATCTGTGTTAGTGTAATGGGAAATCCAAAAAGAATGAGATCAATGCAGGGTGTTTCAGTTTATTGTTGCATAACTTTAAGATTCGATAGAACTCTTAAAATTAATGCATAAAGTCTACAGGGTGTTTCAGTTTATTGTTGCATAACTTTGAGATTCGATAGAACTTTTAAAATTAATGCATAAAGTCTATATAAACATGGGTCGAAAAATGCGTGGCTTCCGAACTACAGGGTGTTTGAATTTACTTTCTAAAATAGTTTTTTTTAAATATTTCGAACAATATTTGATGCATAATAGTGAAAATTGGTATACAAGGATTTTTTGGTACGACAAAACGAACCATGGGCATAGTTTTACTGTAGCCGCTAGAGGGCGCTCTCTACTGTACCTGTAGTGTATTAAAATGACCGAACATTTTTTCTTAGTGCAATTTTTTGCTTTTTGAATAAAAAAACTGATTCTCCGTACTTTTCAACATAAAAAAGCTCTCTTGTGAGTTTTCGTTATAGTTAGCCGTTTTTGAGATATTTCGATTTTTAAGATTCGATGCATTTTTAATTATTTATGATAAAATAACGTTAAAAAGTCAGTATGTCGATAATTTTTAGAAGTAGGCTGTGCCTGCAAATATTTTTGAAATTGAAAGCAGAATAAGGTCGAACATCAATTAGTTGACAGTTAGTTTTGTTGTCTGTTGAAACCTGAAACGTTTTTTTGCAATTGTGAATGCACGAAATTTAGTTTCTTTTGCCTGTTTTTTTGTAAGTTTTATGAAAATGCCATTTTTATTCTCCAATCAAGAGTTAGCGGATATTCATTTTGTGTATGGCTTTGTAAATGGAAAGGCAGCAGAAGCAGCCAGAGAATACGCACGAAGATTTCCAAACAGACGACATCCAGCTCGCTCAGTATTTGTAAGAGTGCATCGCCAAATAATTGAAAATGGTTTTGGAAATCTTTTTTTAGCGGCTATAGTAAAACTATGCCCATGGTTCGTTTTGTCGTACCAAAAAACCGTTTTATACCAATTTTCACTGTTATACATCAAATATTGTTCGAAATATTTAAAAAAAACTATTTTAGAAAGTAAATTTAAACACCCTGTATTTCGGAAGTCACGCATTTTTCGACCCATGTTTATATAGACTTTATGCATTAATTTTAAAAGTTCTATCGAATCTTAAAGTTATGCAACAATAAACTGAAACACCCTGTATATTAAATGGACTCAGTATGAGTGTATTAAATTTCTTTTCCTCAAAGTCTTAATGACAACTGATTTGAAATTTCCATTCAACTATCACAAGTTTTAAATGCGCTTCTGTCTAAAACTGGCCAATCAAATGCAGTTCGACAATTTTTTGAAACTATCCGACCGACTAGTAGCACTTTCCGTCTGAGTACTGGTGAAATAGCACCTTTTTGATTAATATTTTGTTATAAAATTACAAGAATATCTATAAGCAATGTATACTAAGTGACATATAAATCCGAACACCCAGTTTAAATGGTTTTATTTTAATAAAAGTTGGTGAATGTATTTATCTTACTGTATATAACAAGTGAAAAAATTTTCAGCCTTATCAGTTGGACATTCCGGTTTTTATACTGCTTTTTTTTAATTCACTACCGCTCTAAAAATGAATATTTCAGCCGCAGTAAAGAATCAACGTTGGCGGATTTTGGTTCTTGACATCCTTTACGATCGGTTACGATGCCTAGAGTACGGAGACCTGTACGATTTCGTCAACTTAGTGAGTTTGATAGGGGCCGTATAGTAGGACATCGGGAAGCTGGACTTTCTTTTCGGGCAATTGCAGTTAGAGTGCAAAGAAGTGTAGACACTGTGGTTAGGTGTTGTCAAGCATGGCTTCGAGAAGGCCGTACGCAAAGAGCAAGGGGCACTGGACGCCGCCGTAGAACAACAGACCGTGAAGATCGTCTCCTAAGATTATTGGCCTTAAGGGACCGTTTCTCCACTACCAGGTCCATTGCAAATGAATGGCTTGCAGAACACGGAAGACCTATTGGCATGCGAAATGTTTACCGACGAATGAGAAGTTTTGGCTTGTTTTCATACCGGCCACACTGGGTCCTCCCTTTATCTCGAGAACACCAACGTAATCGCCTTGAGTGGTGCAGCCAACGGTCACTCTGGGATCAGGAATGGAACAGTATTGTCTTTAGTGACGAGTCTCGATTTTGTTTAGGCATGCACGATGGTCGTGCCAGGGTTAGAAGGCGACGTGGTGAAAGGAGGAATCCACAGTTTTCTGTTGAAAGACATGTTCATCACACTGTTGGAGTTATGGTTTGGGGTGCTATAGCTTATGGTTCCAGGTCACCTTTAATCTTCATCAGAGGTAACATGAACGCGCAGCGTTATATCCACGAAGTTCTAGAACCCCATCTTTTACCCGATCTTGACACCCTGGCAGGTCCAACTTTCCAACAAGATAATGCCCGACCACATGTTGCAAGAGTCACAATAGACTTCTTTCAACATAATGATGTCACATTGTTACCATGGCCACCAAGATCTCCCGACTTATCCCCAATTGAGCACGTGTGGGATATGATGGGTAGTGCTCAATTTGCAACGTCCTCCTCAGACTCTAGAAGCACTTCGAGAGGAGTTGGTGGTTGCCTGGAATGAGATACCACAGGAGGACATTGACCACCTGATCAGAAGCATGCCTAGGCGCGTTGGAGAATGCGTAGCACATCAGGGTGCCTCCACACATTATTAAAGGTCAAAGGGCTTTTAAGCAGTGCAATCATTTTGAAATTTTTATCATTTACTTATTATGCTTCATTAAGTACTTATACAAAATTTAATTAAAATAAAACCATTTAAACTGGGTGTTCGGATTTATATGTCACTTAGTATATTTTTGTCGTCGAAAAGATAATAAAATGTATGATCACCACGAAAAGCTTTATTGTTGTTATCTTGAACACAAAATTCGTAATCACACTTTGTATTTTACTGTAATTACACTGACAGTACAGGCACGTGTACCCTACAGAGTCAATCTACTTGACACCTTTTTTTGTAAGAATAGACGATACTAAAAAAATCACTCTATGGATATGGTTAAAAAGCTGATTGTTTTTTGTGCTAATATAAACAAGCATATACCTTGACAATCTGTGTAATAATCTCATTGTTACCGAGTTGTTTTTTTTTTCGTCTCATACTATTTCTTTGAGATGAAATCTTTCCTCATAATAGGCGTGTCACCTATCACATTCATCACAATGTAATAGCGTTAATTGAGCACTTATATACATCATTTCGTATCACAATCACCCATCTACCTCAAGCTCGCGTAAATAATGTGATTTTTATGTTGTTCACTTTCATTACTTTCACATTCCCTGAGTAGGCGACACGATCGTTCAGCGTCGCTATTGTTCATAACAAAACGTAAAAAGTGACTGACTGATAAGGAAATATCAACTTGATAATATGACACTGCATAATATGCAAATTATTCTGCGGTATTGTGTTACACAACAAATTCCATACTGCATTTAAATCGATCATGTGTATACGGGCAAATACAAATATTGGTCCCTGTGAAAACTATAGCGTTAGCACTGACCAAGGATCTGCTGGAATAATATACTCAATAACACTATAAGAGTTACACCCAGAAAAAATAGTTTATTCAACTTGATTTTTTGGCAATGAGGTAGTCTTACAACAAGAATGAAATGATAATACGTGAAGTAATAAGAAACAAATTTAATATACTCGTATAATAGGGAATAGTCGCCAAAATCGTGCTGGGTGTAACACAGAAAAAGCCACAAGTAACAAATCGCGAACTATGCCGACAAGAGATTTTGTCCTAGACCGCTTTGGCATTGGTGGAATATTAGAATCCTCGCTGTGTGGCTTCTCGCTTTCTGTAATTTAATAAATGCTCCAATTTCGACTTTTATTCGCCGTTTCTATTTGGAACGTTCCACCGGCCACTTGTTGAACATTCGTGCATCGTTCTGTGCTTACCAATGAATTCAGACTAGGAGATACGAGCGGTTTTTTTTCGGAAATAAGCTTCCCAACGCTGTATTTTTTCGGCACGTGATGCTAGGTGAAATTTGGCAACACGGTCGAGCTCCCAACAAGAAGCACCTATTGGCGATGCTCAATGCGCAATGTATCAAATAAAAGACATTATTATAGGTTATAGTACAAAGTGTACGTGTATACTTAATTTGGACATTTTTAAATATATTTCTAAGTCTCAGTTGAGTAGATTGGCCAATAGCTAAACTCCGAAATTTGCATCATACTTTCTAAAGTTATGCTGTGATGTTAATGACACAATAAAGACATATGTTATTATTACATGTTCGTCATTTATCAAAAGAGTTACCTGTTGATTTTGAATCTGCGTCTGCTGTTGTGGCGTGCCAGCCGTCGCCGCCCTTACGTCGTTGGCGAGCTGTGACGTCACCGCGGTCGTCGTTGCTGTCGCCTGTCCAGTCACCGCCTTCTGTTGCGGCTCGTGGGCGTGTCCATTCGGCAGTAGCGACCTATCACAGGCTATCACCGCTGTGGGCGGTGCCAATTGCCCGCTGTCTGAGACGGCGCCTACCAATTGTTTGCCCGCCTGCAAAGAGAACGGTGATATTCAAGAGCAACTCGATTTAAGCTTCGGTTACGTTGGTTTTGCCTTCTCACCGAGAACTAGAATATTTTATAAGCTACCAACTGAATAAGTTGAAGGAATGCCTTGTGTCGCTTGTCTTACGAATTTTATTTTTTTTTTTTAGAAATCTAAGTTGACGAATCTTAGGTATATAAGTAAACAGATGTACAGTTGCTTTCCAACGTGGAAAATTTTAACGAAATTCAAATCTCGATATTTTCGGAACAAAAAGAGATATCGAGTTGGGGTATTCGGGAGGTTCGTGACAAACTCTTTGAGAACATGTACAAGGTTTAATCGGTATATTTTTATCATCTATCCACTTATACAGGGTGAGCAAAGGAGGTCAGTTTTTTAGCAACGTTTGGGGCTATGTCAGAGTCTCAATTTTTGGACTATCTTAAAAAACTGATATCTCAAATTTCTCGAAAGTCGGATATAACTCAAATTATTGAATTTTTAACTTCCCGCAAAAAAATATCGAGATTTGAATTTGGGTTGAATTTCAAAATATAATAAATAATTTGACCTTGCCTAGCGTCAGCAGTAGATCTCTTTAAAGTTTTTTTACTCTTTTTATTTTCGAAACGACAAGTTACCTGGTGAGAAGCGGCGGAGTTGGCTGCGGCAGCTGCGGACGTGGCTGTCAATGACGTCACGTAAATGGGCGAACTTTTGATGAAACCGTTCAAATCGTCGGTACTGACTGCGTTCGGTGCTGTCGATGAAGCCTGATTCAGCTGAAACAAAGTTTACGAGTGAAGAATTGTTGCGGCAGTGAATTTTGACGTATTGTCGAATTTGGGATATACAGGGTGTTTCAGTTTATTGTTGCATAACTTTAAGATTCGATAGAACTTTTAAAATTAATGCATAAAGTCTATATAAACATGGGTCGAAAAATGCGTGGCTTCCGAAATACAGGATGTTTAAATTTACTTTCTAAAATAGTTTTTTTTTAAATATTTCGAACAATATTTGATGTATAACAGTGAAAATAGGTACACAAGGGTTTTTTGGTATGACAAAATGAACCATGGGCATAGTTTTACTGTATCCGCTAGAGGGCGCTCTCTACTGTACCTGTAGTGTATTAAAATGACCGACAAAATTTTCTTAGTGCAATTTTTGCTTTTTGAATAAAAAAGCTGATTCTTCGCACTTTTCAACATAAAAAAGCTCTCTTGTGAATTTTCGTTATAGTTAGCCGTTTTTGAGATATTTCGATTTTTAAGGTTCGATGCATTTTTAATTATTTATGATAAAATAACGTTAAAAAGTCAGTATCTCGTTTATAGAGACTTTATGCATTAATTTTAAAAGTTCTATCGAATCTTAAAGTTATGCAACAATAAACTGAAACACCCTGTATAATGATCGACATGTATCCCCGTAGATTTAAGCGCCAAATTGACACCCGATTTCTAATCTGGCCACAAAGTTTGGTTGAGAATTTTTGAAAAATTCTGTAGTTCGTTCTTCATTCTTGGACATGGCATCAGTTTTCCAAGGTAAGATCACCACTCAACCTCCCTAAGAATTATTCCAAACTATTCGAAACTGTTAAACAGCTATCGAAAATTTGAGGATTATTTATGTTTTGATTAGGTACTCATTTTGTTGTATTCCATGGCCTGCTTGTATGCTAATTTTCTTTTTATTCATAGTGAATATGCATTTAAAGAAAAAATATGCCTTTTATTATTAGCATTACTCAATTACCTCTTAGCGATATTTTCAATAAGGGTGATTCTATTGTGATAAATAAAAAAGAATTCCAGAAAAAATAGTTTGGTTTGGGTTCTTTGCCCTGAGTTTTAGGTTAGGTTCAGACAACATTTAACTACTTTCTCATAAAAAAATACACCAATTCGTTTAATTTTTTTGAGAAAATTCATACTTTCTGCCGGAATGTTGAAAAAAGCACTTGTGAAAATAACAAAACTTCAAATATTATAAAATTCGTAGCCCAAGAATAGCTCTTTTCATCTAGCCATACAGGGTGTTTTTACAGAGAAATTTGAATACCCCCACCACTTTATTTTTAGAGATACAGGAAAAATTGCCAAACTAAAAAGGTTCAGACAAACAAAGAAATTAATGATGATGGATCCCTCGAGCACTAAAAACTCCGGACGTAAACTCACTCCACTCTCGGAATGTCCGGGTGGAGGGTGGGCTCGAGGGAACAACATCGAAGATAAAATTTGTTTTTCGAACATCTGCGGGATCAACAGCAACATTGATGCTGTTCATCACTACCTGCAATCCAATCGTCCCGCCGTGCTTTTCTTGGCGGAGACAAAAATCTCAGAGGCTGCACCGATTAACCATCTCAACTTCCCAAACTACGAGGTGCACTCCAATCTGAGAAAGAACGGGGGAGTTGTGGCTTTTGTCCGCAGCAGTCTTTCCTGCTCCAGGGATCTTTCTTTGGAATCAGACCGGAAGGACATTCTGTGGCTTCGCCTCAACTCCAAAACATCACCCAAATTTATTTGCTGCTTTTATCGCTCTCCCTCGAACCATAACTGGGATGACCTACTCGAATACCTCGCCGTCCAGATCGACTTCCTGAACATCAATCACCCCGCTTCAGAGGTAGTTCTTCTCGGTGATTTCAATGCCCATAATGAGCTTTGGTTGGGCTCAAATAAGACCGATGCAGCAGGTCGTGCAGTCGAAGCGTTCGCTCTTACTCAAGGGCTGACCCAGCTGGTGACGAGCCCTACTTTTTTCCCCCGCGTCTCGTCACACGCCAGTAGCCTGCTGGATCTCTTTCTGACCACGCATCCTGCCCCTTACAGCACTGCCGTCCGGTCCCCCCTGGGTAACTCAGATCACGGTGTTGTGGAGGTTAGGTTTCGGTCACAAGCCGCTGTGGCCGCAGAAACTCGCACAGGCCGCAAAACTTGGCATTACGGACATGCCGACTGGGAGGGGCTCAGAGACTTCTTCTCTAGCTTTCCTTGGAGAGATGTCTGTTTCACTGACGCGGATGCGTCGACTGTCTGTTCTTCAATAACCGAAATTATCCACGTCGGAATGGAGGAATACATCCTTCACACAGTGAAAGTTCCTAAACCAGGGTCCAACGGCTGGTTCAACAAATCGTGTGACACTGCTCGCCAGCAGAAGATCAAGGCCCACAGAACCTACTTACAAAACCCCACTATAGAGAACAGACAAGCCGACGTCGAGTCCAGAAACAAATATAACGAAGCGGTTCGCAATGCCAAAACCCAGCATGATATAAAAGTTAGGCACAGGGTAATGTCGCAGCGCAATGGCAGTCGGTCTTTCTGG